CAATAAAACGGAGAAGAGATCGGAGAAAATTATTCCATGGCGGTAACACTATCTCCGCCTTGATGTCGCAGTCCGGAAATAAAAGTCTCAATGTCGTCATACCGGTGAGGATGTTGGCATCGTAGTTGTCGCCCTCGTCTTCAACAGGGCCGTCACGAAGAAAATGATTCCACCTTGCCCTCTCGTCGTCGCCGGAGAGGAGGAGGAGGAGGAGATAAATTGCTAAAATCAAAAAACTTGGCATGGAGAGACACTAACGGTAAGAGTCAACATGAAGATCTATCTATCTGATTCCGGCTTCGTAGAAACCCAGAATATCAGTATTTTTTTAAGCACAACTGAAACCACCGTATTTTTTTAAGCCTTTTCGATTTTGGGCGGCACCTTTTGCAGTTCAATTCATTGCTAATCAGAGCCATACAACTATATTCTATTCCAATTCTGACCACCTAACGGATCGGAATCGATACAACTCGAGATGTGGGGTACATGAGAAAACAGAAGGAAACTGAACCAATGCCCAGAAATGGCACGAGTAATTTCCACTGGATATAAATCAACAAGGTTACCTCGTACACAATAAGCTTGTTATTTTGTTATTTCATAATTTTTTTTAATTTACTCAATTGGGAACAGGTGAATCCTCCAAACTGGCTGGCAAAGACTCAACCGGAGATGTTTTTGTTGACAATCCATTCCAGAAATTTCACATTTTGACTGCTTGTTTGACAAAAGATTTAATCAATATGGATAGGTTGATGAGTGATGACATCCACTTGCTAAGCAACAGGTGAAGAATTTTTATTGCACCTTGCACTAGATCTGGAGAACTTCTTAAAAAATAGATCTGGAGAAAATGACTGGTAATACTAGCAAATTGTAATGCAGGTAATATCCTCTCAAAGGAGAGAGGGGGGAGGCAACATTTCTCAACTTCACATGACTTCTGAGTTCTGAGACAGCAGAAACTTGGAGGTCCAGTCAACATTTCACAGCCAGTGCGAGCTGCTCGTCAACCAAACCAAGTCTGAAGTAACAAACCCAAGCTTCCAATAAGGAATTAAGGATGTTCTCCACCTGGTTTGCATCCAAACCTGTCATCCTGTTCCTGGCCATCCTGGGTGCAGCATATCTATAAGGAAACTTCATCAAAGAGCTGGTAAAAAAAATCTGCGGGAATATTAAATCATCGATTTAGAGAAATACAAGGGAAGTTCAAAAAAGATCCTATACTTCAACAGAAGAGGATATCATGAACTTAAGACATTACTATTCTATTTTCTCCCTTGTGCGAGGGGGGGGGGGCACCTTTTGTCCCGAATAATAAGGTCTGGAATCGTCTTTTGTACTTTATATGTGCGAGACAATGAAGATATGTCTGACATTGGCTTCGTAGAAATCCAGTTTCAGTGTTTTCTTAAGCCTGAGCAAGCTCACACAGTTCGACATAACTGAGACCACCATATCCCTTTGCGATATTGAGGGGGCACCTTTTGAGCATAATCCATTGTTAATCACTAATATTATATCCTGTTCTAATTCTGCTCCTATCAGAAAACAGAATCAACCCAAGCCAATGCCCATAAATTGCATGAACAATATTCACTCATATAATTTTAAAACTTTCCATGTACATAGTAATCTAGCTATTTCATAACTTTCTTAGTTTACTCACTTGGGAACAGTGAAATATCATAGGCTATGCTTAAGCAGCACTAACCAGAAATCCTGCACTCCATGACAGTGAGTTTGTGACTCCAGAACCCTGTAAATTGGCAGAACAGACAGAAGTTTGTGACTCCAGAGCCCTGTAAATTGGCAGAACAGACAAAAATGGAGATATTCTTTTGATGAGAATCCATTCCAGAAAAGGAGTGCTAGTTTGACATCACAGATTTGATCAACATGAATCAGCAGATGGCATTCACAAATTCAGCAACCAGTGAATAAGTTTGATTGCACCTTGCTGAATCTCCATCGCTGTCCATGGGCATGACATGCAAACCACGAACCACTAACCTGCAAGACAACTGCAAAAGTACGAGATCTCGAGATAATGGCCAGTATACTAAACATCAGAGTTCAGGTAATTTCCTCTCAAAGAAAAGGGAAAAAAGGACAGTATTTCTCAACCACATACGGGTTCTTAGATCTGAGACAGCAGGAACTTGGGGATTTCACATGCAGTGTAACTGTGTAAACTGCTTGTGAACCAAACCTAATTTGAGCTGGTGATTCCAGCTAGCTTCAATAAGGATATTATGCACCTGGTTGCATTCAGCCCAGTCATCCTGGCTAGTGGCTACCAAGGTTCCTAGTGGGCATCATAGATATATGGAAACGCCAAAGAATAAGAAAACTAATAAATAAACATCAATTGCAAGAAAAATACATCGTCAAATTCATTGTTTTAAAGGCGTCGCCTAGGCGACGACTAGGCGTCTAGGCGACGAAAATGTCTGGGCGTCGGGGGTCGCCTAGCCAGGAGCCGTATGGCGTCCGCCTCGGTGTCTAAGGCGTCCGCCTTTCGCATTAGGCGTCTGGGGCGTCGCCAACCGGCCTGAGGCGGTCGCCATACTCGTGAGCAGCCGCGCGCGGAAAAGGGAAGGGACCCAAGGCGGGAAATCTCTCCCGCGCGGGACTTCTCCCGCCTTCCGTCGTTTCCTGCGCGCGTGCATAGAGGAAATTGCGCGGGAATAGAGAGAGATTGTGAGAGATAGGGGATTGAGAAGAGAGAGGGAGAGGGAGACCCTGCTGGAGTTTCTTCCCCACTCGCGGCCAGGTCCCGCTCATCCTCTCGCGTGCGTCCGCTCAGAGCCGCGAGTCCTCCCGCGCGTGTTCGCTTGCCCATCTTCCGCTTCCTCTGTGCGGACCCGTGCGTCCGTCCGTCCGCACCAACCAGGAGGGCCAGGACGACCAGCTTCTTCTGCGGACCCAGGATGGCTTCACCGGTGCCCAGCTCCGCTCAGCCTTCAGGCCAGCCCTCCACTGGACCAGGTATCCCTCGCCTCCTCTCTCTCTCTTTCTCTTAAAAAGGTCCAAAGCTTGCATGTGGCGTGTGTTGCTGTCCCCTGCTTTGTATGTTTTTTCTCTTAAAAAGGTCCAAAGCTTGCATGTGGCATGTGCTGTTGTCCCCTGCTTTGTTTGCTTTTAGAAAGGCTGAAGCTTGCATGCGGCTGTCCCCTGCTCAGAGCAGATAGCACATGGGTATAGTTGTTGCTTTGTCTACTTGTGCTTTGATTTATAGATGTTAAATGGAGCAGTACATTAGTTGTTGTTGCTCTATTTTATATGCTAATTGCACTGCCTTTTATGCTAATTTGATTTGTTTATTAGGCTGGAGGGTGCTCTTGCTCTGTGCTCTGTTTTAGCTGCTGCTGCTGCTCTGTTTATTAGGCTAGAGGGTGCTCTTTTATGCTATATGCTAATTGCACTGCCTTTTATTCTAATTAAATTGGTAGTTTACTGATTCCTACACTTTGCCATTCTCTTAAGTCTGAACTCATTTGGTTTATAAAAATTATGCAGCAGGAACCATGTCAAGTCCACCATCAATCGTCAGCGGATATGATCCCAAGAATGATCTAGCCCGGAAACCGCAAAGGTCAAAAGATCCAGCATGGAGGTTTGGCTATTGGCCGAACCTACAAAACAGAGATGAGGTGGCATGCACCTTATGTGGCGGCTCAGTTCGTGGAGGGATTAAAAGATTGAAGCAACATTTGGCAGGAGGTTATGGAGATGCAAAACTATGTTCATGTGTCAGCACTGAAGTTAGGAGGGAGATGGCAGCTTACTTGGATGCAAACAAGAGGAAAAGACCATTGGTTCTAGATGATGAGGTGGTGGAGGTGGCAGCAAATGAGGCTCCTGCAAATGAGGCTGCTGCTGCGGTACAGCCTAGTTCAGGGATAGCAGCAAAAAAGAGGCAAGCATCCTTACAATTCATGGTTGTTGGCAACAAGACTAAACCGGAGGGAAAGGCAAACAAATCTGTAGTTGAGATGCTTCGAAAAACACCAGAAGAGATAGTAGATGAGAGACTTTCAGGGTCTTATCAGCCCACAATTGTGTCTAGTACAAAAACCAAGGAAGAGAAGCATTATGTGGATACACAATGGGCCTTGTTCTTCTATGAATGTGGCATACCTTTTAATGCAAAGAATAGCAAGGCAATTTTAGATTGCGATTGAGGCCACACACAATATGGTTCAGGTACAAGCCTCCAACACCATATCAACTTGGGGATCCATTACTTCAAGAAGCAAAGAAGTCAACAAGTACCATGAGAGAGGAGCATGAGAGAGCATGGAAACATTATGGCTGCACACTCATGTCCGATGGATGGTCCGATAGGAGGGGCGCCACTTAATTAACTTCCTTGTAAACATGACCCGGAGGAGACTTACTTCTTGAGTCCATTGATGCATCAAGTGAAGTACATGATGCATACATGCTTGCTGGTTTGCTAGAGAAGAAGGTTGAGGAGATTGGGAAGGACAAGGTTGTTCAAGTTATCACGATAATGGTGCTAACTTCAAGGTCTGCAGGCAAGATTCTCATGGACGAGGATTCCTACAATATTTTGAGTCCATGTCTTGCGCATTGCTTGGATCTCGTGTTAGAAGATATAGGGAACTTGTCGAATTCAAGAAACCTATTACACGTGCAAGGCGTGTGACAACTTTCATCTATAGACATGGGAGGATCCTTAGTGCCATGAGGAGAAAAGCAGTGGGGGCTGACCTTGTGAGGCCAAAGACCCACGCTTTGCAACGACTTTTTTGACTTTGAAGAGCTTGTACAAGCACAAGGATGCTTTGAAGTCTTTAATGGTTAGCGAAGCATGGATTTGGGAACAAATTGGCAAAAACTAAGGCTGGTCTAGATGTGCATGACATTGTGCTCTCTACGCTTTGAAATTCAATGGAAGATTGCCTTAGAGCTTCATTTCACTTCTTATTGTGCTTAGGGTGGTTGATGGAGATGAGAAGCCAGCAATGCCGGAGGTTCAAGCTCTAATGAACCATGCAAAGGAGAGGATCAATCAAAGCTTTGCTATCCAATCCAAGAAATCTTTGCTCAAGAAGATTATGGGAATAATTGAGCGACGTTGGGAGAAACAAATGGATCATCCATTGTATGGGGTTGCACTGTACTTGAACCCAGAGAAGCTACATCCTCTCCTAAAAAAGGATGATGATGCAACTGTTGGACAGCTAAGAGGTTGCTTTCTTGATGTGCTTTCAAGAATGGTGGAAAATGAGGAAACTAGAAGCAAGATCAATGCTCAAACCATGGATTATGAATATCTTAGAGGAGATGCTTTTTCAAATAAGATGGTCATTCAAAACCTTGAGTCAATGAGTCCTCGTAAGTGTTTCATTTCCATTTTAATTTCAGCAAGTGTACATCACATCAATTTGATTCCAGCTAGCATTTTTTGTCCTAGCTCCTAACATATTGTTTCATTTGTTTGCTCTAGTTGATTGGTGGCGTTCCTATGGTGGCCGTGCTATTGAGCTACAAAGGTTTGCAAGGCGTGTGGTTAGTTTTGTGCTTCATCATCTGGTACATGTGAGCGAAAAAGCAAATTTGAATCTGTGAGTATTTCCTCATTTGCTTGCTGCCCTTACCATTATTTCAGCAAGCAGTTTATTCATTTTTTGGTTGCAATTGTGTTTCTGGTTTTGTAGATCCACACAAAAAAAGGAACCGATTGTTGCATAAGAGGCTGAATTTTATTGTCTTTGTTTCCTACAACCGGAAGATGAAATCTAGGTTCCAAAAGTTACGCCAGAACAAGGGAAAAAACTTTGATCCTTTGGTTATTGAGGACTTTGATTGGAACAATGAGTGGGCTGACTCATTGCATGTACCCCCTCAAGGTACTCGTGGGTGTGAGTGTGACCTTACTTGGAACCTTGTTGATGAAGCTGTTGGAGCATCACAATCACTTCAAGGCCGGAACTTTCCAAGAGCAGCCCACAGGCGTGCAAGAAATTCTGCACCTATGGTGGATGAAGCTGAGTTGGGTTCAGATAATGAAGAAAATCCAGATCCATTTGATGATGCAGATGTGATAGATTGTGAGAATGATCCAAATGATGCCAATGAAATTGGAGAAGACAATGAGACAATAACGTTGTTTGGAGAGTTTGATGATGGCTATTGAGACTTGAGAGATTAGAGATTAAAGATTTCCTCTTTTGTAAGCTAATATATGTGCTGCACTAGCAGCACTACTAATTAAGTTATATATGCCATTAGAGACTAGTTTATGGCTACTAAGAGATGAAACATTTCATATTTGCTACTTGCTACTTTATGTGGTGCCCTAGAACTCTAATAGCACTACATATTATGCTTATAATTGGCTATATTAAGGTTGGATTGTCATCTAAATTTTTATTTGTGTTATATATTAAATTGTCTGTATGGCGTCGCCTAGGCGAGCGCCTTATTTGCCTAGGCGACTGGAAGGGGGTCGCTCGCCTCGCCTCGCCTTACCGCCTTTAAAACATTGGTCAAATTAGAGTATATAACCGCATCTGACATGCTAAGAACATAGCAAAAAGTTCAACAAAGGCACCATGCTTCTCAACAAAAGAGGATAGTCAGAACTTGAGCTTACCATTCTAAGAGGGTAAAATCATTTTTTTACAGCCACTATATGTCTATACCACTTCCAGTAAGATAATAAAAAGAAACATATGCTCAGGAAAAGAAAAAATTTATAAGGATGTACAGAAACTAAGCATAAGTTTTGTGTCAAAAACTCAAAATACAACCCAAATTACTCAACTGAGACATTTGTTCCCAAAACAACTGATGCAATCTTTGAATGGTACCAGGTGCTGAAAAATTCACAAAGAATACCTACTCCAAGGAAACATTAAAAAATGTTACCAAATAAACATTTGAATAACTGTTCCACAGTTCACGGATGCTAGAACAAGGTGCATAGTGTATTCAAGCAAACAAATTCCAAAACAGAATATGAAATTCTTCTATGCTAGAATAAAAGAAACTACAGTACTAGGAGAGTGAAATCAACAGTCCAGAGAACCATGGAATTGATTCGATTAGAAAGGTACATATCATAATTCCTGGCAACTGTAGCTCAGTTGGATGAGTGCATGTTTAGAACATTTACATTCCAGTCATAGGAGAGAATTTGAAGACATTGAGCAAAAAAAGCATATATATTTCTTCAACAGGGTTAAACTTTTATCTTAATTGCAGGTCGTTGCCATAATCTGAATACAATGTACACGAGCAATGAGCCATTGAAGGCATCATTTATGATCACTGCGAAAAATGATTCCATTTAAGTCTGTAATAAGGGGAAAATGCTCTATTACAACATCACAACAAATCTCTAATACTATCAGAACATGTTTTTTTGTGCCAAGAGCTGAGGATATGTTTGTCGACGAGTTACTCAGCTTGACCTGGACATCAGCCAACCCTATTGATTCTTCAATTTATTATCAACGGGCTATATGTTCCCAAGAAAGAATTTATGCCACACTGTCCGTTGCATCTCCCTTTGTTCACCTGTTGGGCCTTGGTATTTCTTGCTTGTGAGTACTGCAATACTCAAATTTTGTAGCCCTGTTGTTGGTCTGCCGCTTCATTTCCTTCAATGCCAGCAAACAGCATCCCCTTTAGAGAAGTTCATCAGCTATAACAGGCTACTATGTATCACTCTCCTCCAAATGACATTGACTGTATCTTCTCGATTTGTGTGGGCCAATTTGGACCAAGCAAACGTGGATCAGATTGCACAGCAACTGCAAAATCTTGCAACGTTGTACAGTGACCCTGATTTGGTTGTTGCAACGAATTCATTCTACCAGCAAACCTTTCATTGACTTTGCTAATTCTTCTACTGCTGGCTCTTACCCTCGACAAATCCACGCACGGTTTAATCAACCTTCGCAACAACTCATCTAATCCACGATTCAAAGCATCGACGGCTTGCACCGTCACTCCAGTGCCGTTGCTGTGCAGCCGCCGCTGCAAACCCTCGCACAGAGAACTCGTATCCAGCAAATGTCCAGAATCATAGCATGCCGCCACTGGATCATCCAACCTCCTCCTTACCCTCATACCACTGCCGCCAGCGACTGAAATCCCCAATGGCGTTGTTATCGGGCTCCGGCTCTGGACGCACGGAGCAGACCTGACCTGCTCCACCTCCTCCCCATCTTCCACGGACACCACCTTCCCGACCGGCGCCCCCCGCTCCCTCGCCAGCTCACCATCACCCGAATCAAGCACTGCCCCCACATTCCCCACCACCGGCAGCACGACGCCGACGCACTGCCCACTCGGGGCGGTGGTGGTGCCCGACTGGCCCGTCACCGCCTGCCGGCTGGGCGGAGGCACCCCCGACAGAGCATTGCCTATGATCCCCCTAATGAGCGCGTTGTGCAGCGCGATGTTCTCCTTGCCGATGGTGGAGACGCAGAGCCTGTCGAACTCCACCTTGGTGAGCTTCAGATTCAGCAGCCTGGTGAGGTGCGCGAAGTACTTGGCCGCCCGCTCCCGGCCCAGCCGCTTCACCAGGCGCTGCTTCAGCTCGGCAACGTCGGCGCGCGCCATCTTGCGGCAGGTCGCCATCACCCGCTCCCGGAATGCGGCTCCCGCGGTCCCCGCGGTCGGAACCCTAACGATGCAAACCCGGATGCTCAGATCTAACCGAACCAGCACGGCCCCGAACAAATTGGGGCAGAATGGAGCGCAAGGAGGAGCAGAACTTACTTGGAATCCTCGATTCGGCAGGGAATTCGTCGCTAGGGTTCCGCCGTAGCTGCGCGATCGGGGGACGGGGGACGGGGAGGGGAACGAAGTCAGCAAAGGAGGGAGGACCGGGTGTACGACGGGTCGTGGGCGACGCGAAGGGTGGTTGGAGGGGAGGAGTGTCAGCGGGCGCGGGTGTATGGGGCGCGGTGCAGGGAGGGGAGCCTGGGCCGTGTCTGGTTGGTGGCTGTTTGGGCCGAGAGAGGAAACGGCGGCGGTCAACGGCACGTGCGGTTTCGTGTGTGTGTGTGTGTGACAACTGACAGCTGAGAGCTGACGCCGCCGGTCTGCGCCTCTGCGGCGAAACCTTGCGGTGCAGCAGTCTCGTTGGTGCAGTGGTGTGCTGGGCAACCTGCTGGTGTAGTACGATATCACGACTTCACGAGGCACACCCTTTTACGCGTCTGATTGGTTCGAGAGGAAGGGGAACTTGGCTCGGGCCTGGTTTAGGTTGGGGTTAGGAATCAGTATTTGGTAGTGTAGTACTTTTGTTTGTATTTGATAATTATTGTTCAATCATAATTTAACTAGGCTCAAAAGATTCGTCTCGTAATTTATAATCAAACTGTGTAATTAGTTATTTTTTTTATCTACATTTAATACTCCATGTATGTATCCAAAGATTTGATGTGATGAAGAGAGTGAAAAAACTTACAATCTAAACAAGGCCTTGGATGATGGCCGACGCCAGGTGTTATGTCCAATCCTATAATTTCCTGACATAATACTATTGCGTGTCTAGTTTTTTTTTTTTGCCAGGAATTGTATACTACCTAGTTTTGATTTAGATTATATTTCATCGGTCCTAAAAAAATATGTAATTCTAGATTTCAAACCATGTCTAAGAAAGAATGTAACTATGTAGACCTGAAGATGCTACTTCATTCTCAAGTATAAGATATTTTAGTTTTAGATATATATAATTTTTATCATGTACTTAGATGTGTACTATATCTTCAAATATAGCAAAAATAATATATCTATGAAACTCCAAAACGTCTTATAACTCGAAACGAATAGAGTAGTATATTAGGTGCGATCGTTGAAATGCTTTTACTGATACATGGCGGGTGTGCATAGAAATTTACTAGGGACACGTGCATCACTTTTCCTCTCACCTAATTTTACCTTGGGAAACTAGAATCGTATGGTTTTTAGGATAAAAGGAGTGTAAGGAACTAAGGACAATTGGCTTTGAATTTGGAACAATTTTTAGGTGCCGTGGACAGCAGCCTTCATTGCGTGTCCCCAAACAGGGCCAAAATGTTCTCATCTTCTCGACGGGATGAGAAATATTAGAGCAAGACTAGGAGCCTATCTAGATGAGCTAAGGCTATTTACTAGCTAGGTTTAAAATTAGCTAAGGTTAGCTAATTAGTTGGCTAAATACTAGTTGAATACATGGCTAAAAATTACCCTACCTATTAGCCCTCTCGTTTGGATGCACTAGAACTAATTTTAACTATTTTTTTAGCTAGCTACTCGCTCTGTTCCAAATTACAAGCCGTTTTAACTTTTTTGGTAAATCCATTTTGCTATGCATCTAGATATAATATTATGTCTAGATACATAACAAAAATAGATGAACAAAAAAGCCAAAACGACTTATAATTTAGAACGGAGTGAGTTGTAATTAGCTCTTGTATCAAAACAAAGCCCTAAGAGCAACTCCAATAGATATGTTATTCCTAATATGGAGTTTGGTTTAGCCTTTTTGCAACATAAAATGCCCTGCAACATATATTGTCTTTGAGATTGTAAAATACCCGGCCATGTATCCCGGCTTTCTCGGTGGGTAAATAAATCTAGTTGGCGCCGCTTGCCATCACGTTCACTAGCGGCGAGTCCAGTGCGCTGATTGGCTAGGAGCCCATGATGAGCCTAGGTTTCGTGCATGTCCAAATGGGCCTCGGTGTCGTGTAAGAGATCAATCTGATGACATGGCGATTTCAAATATAGAGAAAGACAAATTTTAGATAGGATGTTGTAGTACTCTATTGTTTTGGTGAGTTTTCTATTTTAGATAATGGCTAAATCACCGGATTTGACATCTATCTTTACATTGACTCTTGGAGTTGCTATAACTCAGCCAGTAGGAATGTTGATGTATACTGGAAAACGTGCTCCATATATATTGATCTATATAAGCTAAGACTGTAATTTTCACAGCACAAAACACAATGTCATGTTTAGCCCCTGGCCCCATCGCTATCTCTCTTTTCCCAAAGATCAGCATATCGCTTCGAGGTATTGCTTTTGTAGTCTATCAACCAGTATCGTATGTGCTCTGTCTTCTTTCTAGTGGAAGCCAGTGCTACGAGGTCATCGACTCCTCGACAAACCACACTGAGGTTATGCTCAATAGAACGAGCTAGTTGCTAGTTTAAAGACAACTTTTCTAATAATACTAACTTTTAGTATATAGCTCATAATATGAATAGTTATACATAATATCCTTGTATAATCTTGAAATATGTGTATAAGACTAGCTCTTATCAAGAACTAGCTTCTGTCTTAGCTTCTATTAAAATATAAAACAATATACTTTAAGTTAGCTCGTAAATTATCATGAAGCTGTCCTGACAGCCGTAGAACTCTCTCACTGCCTCTTTGTTTCATATGACATCCAAGCCTACATGTCTGTCTCTGTGGGGGGGTTGCAGTGCATGTGTCGAGTCCGTCTTTATACGAACTTGCAAAATGAGTGAAGCTACTTTTTCAAAGAACCAACGAACTCGCAAAGTAGTTTCTGGACTCCAGATGTGACGCTGTAGTAGTTTTTCCCATTTACAAAGAGTGGTGACATAGTTTTTTTTATTATGAATGCGAGTGTGTGACGGTAGTTTTTTTTTTTTAAGAAACGGGTTGGATTTTATTAAGCATGGAGAGAGATTACGTCCATCCCCTTGCAAAGGAGCTCCCACAACAAAATAAAATTACATTGAAGTTCTTCATAGAAGCTCCTGGAGGTCGACGTTTCAGTCGACCGGAATCGCTGCTGCTCGCTTCTCCTCCATCGCCAGCAACAGAGAAGAAAGACGAGGAGGAAGCTCAAAGCGGACACCTCAACAGACGACGAAACATCATTTTTGAAGATATCCAAAAGTAGCACGGTAGTTGCTTATGCGCATGGCATGGATATTGTCCAACTGCCAAGTTTTTGAGAGGAAAGCCCACGATGATCGATTCGGCCTGGAATTGAATAAATTGGGCCTCGTTAGAACCAGCTTGGTAAACCTTTATGGGCCCAACTTCTTGCGATTTGATTTGTCCGACTCCGTTTGTGCCTAGCCCAAGTTGGCAAACGGTCTACGGTCCTAGTTGGTCTCCCCTCTTCTCAATCAAAGAAAAACGGAAGGAATTTTTTTTTCTATCTACTAATATAATGATGAGCCTCAGATATTTGATCCACCAAAAACCCATCAGTCGATTGAGCCCAAAATGTTGTTCCGGTGGCCGAGTGCCGAAATATGCACATCTCAGACTACGAGAGTACTCTCAGTTTCAACTTCATCTCAAAATCTCAAAATACCCATCAGTGCACTGTGTTGGATACGGTTCCAAACAGTTTCATCTTCAGCCGCAACAGTGAGTGTGGGTCAGTCATGTCCTGTCATTCTGTCAATGGAATATGAACAGTTTTTTTTTTTTTTTTTCTTTCCATAGTGGTGGGCGTTAGGGTGGGGCCGGCCGTCGGGGTGCGGGCGATGGGGAATAAAATCACTCGCGCTATTTCGCAAAGAAAGAGAGCCAGCCAGCCAGCCTAATCGCGATGGCAATGGCATTTGGAACCTGCCGTTACAGCCTATCACACGGTATCATCCGATGGTGCGAGCATTGCTTCGGCTGCACACTGGACGGTGGACGGGCCCAAAAAGGCCAGATTAGTCAAGGATGGCAGCCACAAAAACAGTGATGCAGTACTGCAGTAGTGGTCTCACAAAGCAGGGCATGGGGATGGAGCGTACCGGCCGCCCAGATCTACCGGCGCTTCCTTGTCAAGCAACGCCTAACGAAGAAAGACGCTCGGCTCGTAGTAGTGGCTAGAGCTAGCTAGCTTCATGGTGCACGCATGGTTTAGTGCTCGGTTTTGATTCGATCGGTAGCTTGGACTGAGGCTATCATTTTAGGAGATCGATCATCTATCGATTGATCAATCACCAATTGGATCCAATGATGCGTGCCATTTTATGTCGTAGGGTAAACGAATTATCCTAGATAGGCAGGTTAATTATTATTAGGAGGAGGACGTGTGACGTGAATGTCATGTACATACGTGTGCCGACACCGAGAAATCCTACTGATGATGAGTGCGTGAGTGCGTACGTATATATGTACAGGTTCTGTCTGTTGCAAGCAGCAGCCAACACCCTGCAGATCGAGCTGCTACACAGAATAATATGCAATCGTACAGACGACACCGGGAGCATCCAATGATCCGTCCAACCATGTCCATGTCGCGCAGGTCGGCGGATCGAAGCGCCACAGCGGCCGCCGCGGCCTGACGCCCTGACCAACCGACCAGCCGACGCCGCGCCGGTGCGTGCGTGAAACGGGCACCGAAATACCAGCAGGTCCGCACGCACGCACGAGGATAAACCAGCCGCCGCTCGCCCGCGCGCACCAAACCGTACGTAGCGGCCGCGCGTGCCGGCGTCCAGCCAGCCAGGGCCCCGGCGTAACGATAACGTACGGCCGGGCGACCGACCCAGCCGTGCGCGGCGTGCTGTGCAGATTCCGGCCGTATCGGAGACGGACGACGGGACCTACGTGACGATGAGAGTGGTTGCTAACAGAAAGCAGGATCGTGACAGCGTGTA